GCGCGCACACACACACACTCACACACACACGCACACACACACACACACACACACACACACACACACTCGTGAACAGAAGTTTGCCCGAAGATACTAAACTACTCGTATTTGCTGGTTCCAGCTATAGTGGTGTCGTTGAGTTTGAATTGACCTTCATGTACCATCTGCTGTCATGATGATCATCATCATCATCATTGCCTTCCCCACCCTGGATCCGGACATGGCCATGAACAAACACTTTCCACCTTTCCCTTTTCAGGGTTAGCCGCTTGATGTTATTCCATGTCTTCCCACTTTTCTGTATATCTATTTCTGTGACTCTTCTCCAGGTTCCATCGGCTGTGCCACAGTTAAACAATAATTGACATTATATCAGCTTAATAATTACGTCACTTCGCGGTTTTGACCATATCTAATATTATGCACGTTTTCTCCCACCGTTATCAGTTCGTGATCTTCACCTTCATTCTTCTCGTAATATACACTTAAATTCTATTCGTAATCTACACCATAACTCTATTTGTAACCTACACCTTAAATTGACCCAACTGTAGACCCAACTCAATCAGCTGATCAACGAATCGTTGGACCTGTTATCGTTGGCTGTCCACGTTTGTTGTTGAGGCATAATCGTTACAGTGTTGCTCCGGGCCTACATACTACATAGTCATAGTGATAAATATCGTGTTTCGAGTTCTTCACCTCAACACCGAGAAGGTCGATAAGGGATTTTGGTCAGGTCAGTCTATCACTGTATTAGTCTTATGAATTATGATGTTCGATCAGGGTCAAAATTTTGTGACTAAGTGCTGTTGTACCCGACTTCTACATGTACTTTTGTACATCTCCGTAGTTGATTTTGTCTGTCTTTTTGCGTGCAGTTACGAACTGTTTTAACTTTTACACATAAATACAAACGCCATACAAACACACACACACACACACACACACACACACACACACACACACACACACACACCACACACGTGCACTCACATACGTTGGCCTACATCCGTTAAATTGGGCACGCGGTATATTGTATTTTTATAATATACATTATATTTCGGAATTTGAGAGAGAGAGAGAGAGAGCAAAATATTTATGTATGCATGTCTGTCTATATGTCTGTCTGTCTGTGCGTGCGTGTGTGCGTGTGCGCGTGTGCGCGTGCGTGCGTGGGTGATGAGTGATGTTTGATCAGCCATTGGTACAGCTCTTGTGGTACCTTGCAAAACAAAACAGAAACAACAAAAAAGAAAAGTATAACTCCCCCCGCCTCCCCCTCAAAACACACACGACAAACACACACGACAAACACACACGACCAGGTAATGGCTTTTGGCGCGTCTATCATTTTTTGTTTGTTTTTGTTTATTCTTTGGACTTTGACCCCGCGGCATTGGTGTAGTCTACACGTACACGTATTCAGTTCGCTTGTCCGGTATGTATGTCAGATGAACGTACTGAGCTTGCTGAACACATTGAACCTGAAAAGGTACACAAAACTATCAATTCAAACTACATGATATAGTGGGAATTGTGCGTGCAGTGGATGAAAGATTGAATTTGGGGTAAACATTTAAATTAATGTAAAAATGTTACATTCTTAACAGCAGTTTAGTAAGTGTTGATATGTGGTAAAGATATATTTTCATTTATTCCTGGGTCAATAATATTAAAATTGGTTACAACTACCTATCTATAAAATAGTTGACATAACATATTACAGTACCCGTGTCACTGAAAACGTTTTTAAATTAACTGGACCATACATTCCTACTGCGTAGTGAACTTTGGCACAGTTCGTAATCGGACCTATCAGCCTCTGTCCGAAGAGATAAACACTGCCTGTCTGAGTGTTTTGTTGTTGAACAAAGGTAACAGGTTTTCATAGGACTTAGGGTAGGTCTTATATTCAATGTTTGGATTATACATTGTCATTTTCACCCGCAGCCGGCAAACTTCTACTGGATTTATAAGAAATATGTATAATATATATATTATCTTTTTCTCTGTGCATTATATATTTTCATGCTTGGAAAGAGAGAAAGGGAGAG